CCCCGTCGATATCGGCTGATATTCAACATGGATGCTTCTTGAAGCATCAGGATTGACGACTCAACATTTCTCAATCATTTGTCTACCGACGATATAAGACCAAGCGCGATGGTGACTTGTGGTCTAACTCACTCCTTCGTCTCTTTCGCCGAATGTTTATTTTGAACAGTTCCTACCACGCAATTCATCTACCTACACAGTATACCAGGAAGCTATTAAAACGGGCTCAAATTTAACGGAGCATCATTCGGATCCATGGGCTTCTTTTCTCATTCCATACCCTACAACAGTAAACGCTAGTCTTATCTGACTGAGAAACATGAAACTAACTGATACCGCGGTTGTGTGTAGCTTTTGTTCTGTCCCCTTCGGTTTCATGATGACTGAGTAAGCCCTGGCCGATTCAACTCATTCATGGCCTGCGATGAGTGGACAGCCTTCGTGTCAAGCTGCCCGCTACCACTCTCGATTGTCGGATTTGCATGCTTTAAGGCCCCGCAATTTGGAAACACAGTTAAGCTGATAAGACAAAAGTGCATGCACACCAATTGTTCACACAGTTACTTGACCTTCGGCAACTGATTGCTACAAATCTGTTTGCACAGGACAAATGGTGAGAACTTACCGGGACCGATGGTGACCTGGGGCGCTGGTGTGCTTGTGTGTGTGTTGGGGGGATTCGGACGGTGGTATCCGGTATTCCGTAGGTCAACTCTGAGAGCGATCGAATGGGTAGCGAATAATTGGCTAGCATAAGCCTCACTTGGTCCAGGGAATTCTGGGCAACATTTGTTGGATTGGTTTCTTCGATTGTCACTGTTTACGGCCCCACTGGGTTGAGATGAGTGCTTCACGTGTTTGCAATTATTTCAATGAAAATTTGTTTACCGAAGCGCATGAATAGGAAAGCATTGGGAATGTATGTATCGAATCTTGAGAAGACTGTAGCTCCTACATCATGTACGCACAATAATAATAATAGTCGCATGAATAGTCCTACAGTCCAATTCCAATATAGGGTTTTAGTTGTTTCAAGTCAATAAACAATGTGAGAGTAAGATTGAAGCAGCATGTTTGCGTTCATGCTACTTTTGTGGACCGGAAATCCCGAAGAACTTGACCTCGCAACTGTGTTGGCGACGCACACCCTCCCTCACATCCAATACATATGAACAGTTAGGTTGCTCACTTTGCGTGCGATTTCCAACGAATCGCTTTATTTTCCCTTCCGAGAACAAAAACGTCACTTTTTATTCAGCGCACACTTTACTGTGATGATAATGATGATGGTGGTGGTGGTGACGTTTATATGGTGTAGGTAGGCACTGTTCCAACAAATCATACTGAAAGCAATAAATGTGTAGATCACATACAACACTGCATTCCTTATGGAAAACCGCGGATATATAATTTTTTTATGAATGAATCACTACCATAATCTTAGCTGAAGCAGTCCAGTGTTGGAAATCCGTTTTTCCTTTAAGTCATCTATAAAATGAAGCAGCAACAACACACCTGACCTCCCTTTTCGATGCTTAATGGGGTTTGAAATAACGCCCTCGTTAGGAGGGAGCGCACAGAATCCGTCCTGCCACGCATCGACCCGCGTCACACCGCAGGTGAGCTCGTGACGCTCAAGCCCAATTGACTCCGGATTGGATGACTAAGGTGAATCAAATAGTTATCGTCCGATCGATCAACCTGAGTGTCAAGGTCGCGATCTGATTGTTGCGTCAACACGTCTTTTCTCGTACGCCCAATTTACCAGATATATTTGCGTGTTGTTTAATGATCAACAAAACACTCTGACTGTCGTTCCTCAGCCGTGTTCTTTCTCCAAATGTTGGGGCCTAGACAAAAAGGCGCATGTATCGATCATTCGTCTTGGCATAAGACATAACACCCTCGAAAAAGGAAAAATGGCAGAAATCAAAGTTTTTGTCAGATGCATGTGTTTTTGTGTGTTATTGATATGTGCCAGGACCATCGCCGGTTACTATCTGTACTGTTTGTCCAGGAAGGGCAGTGACCTAAAACCTAATGGGATCAGTTGGAAATTCGATACGTAATCGCGTGAAGATAAATTTCGAACATTTAGGAAGGTCACGTTACGGACCATGAGTTCATGAAGAAATCCCAAATATAGGACAACAGGAGGGAAAGATTCGCAGAATTCGACCGGTTTGAAACTATTTAACACAAAAGCTATCGTTCACTTATTTTTAAAAGACAAAAGCGTAAGAAAATCACTAATGTATGCGGAATGATGAAACGACAATGAATTGCTTGGCTCGTCGATTGCAGGGTAGGAAGTCTTTTGATCGTACTTTGTCCGTGGCTCCCTCAGTCAAAAATAGATATGCTAATAGATTCGCCGAACAACCGAAGAATTCCGGTTTGTGAAGCACGTGTGATCAGGGATTAGAATCAAAAAACGATGACCAAAAGAAGGAGAGTTGTGGGCAAACTTCAAGAGAAGACTTTGGGGATTTCTTTGTAGGCTGACCTACCGGGATATGCATGGTATTACGCATACTTATGTTGAGTTTATAAGCGTACTAGAAAGAGTCGTTCAGGGACACTAATACAAAATTCCGGTCCTTCAAGAATGAGTGTAAGACGCGATGTCGGAGAGCTATTAGAAGAAAATATTTAGAATGAATGGTAAAATTATAGGGTCTAGGAGTGGAAATAAATGTAATTTTTCTCCTTCTTTCTTTATTTAAACATGATGAGCAGCATCGACATTACA